ACAAAAATCAGCCAGGCATGGTGGTAGGTGCCTATAGTCCCAGCTACTCGGGAGGCTGAGGCAGGAGAATCACTTGAACCCAGGAGGTGGAGGTTGTGGTGAGCTGAGAATGCCCCACTGCACTCCAACCTGGGCAACAGAGTGAGACTCTGTTTCAAAAACAACAACAAAAACAACCACACACAAAAAATTGTTTTTCCCTGTAAGTAAGAAAGGGATGCTCAGATAGCAACCTGGTGTTAAGTTCTGTGTCGTTGTGAACTATTTCATACACATAGCTGTTTTAAGTTAATGAGATAAATAAATCTATCCTAAATGAGCCATTAAAAAATCCCAGTTTCTTATTTATTAATAAGAACTTTTGGTTCTTATTAATAAATACTTTATTCTTTTCTCTGTTAGAATAAATTAAAAAGAAAAGCAACCTTTTATAAAGTAGAAGTATACTCCTAAAAGAACAGCTATTAGAACATAACCTTAGGAGCAACACGAGTTAGACACAGCACCTTCGACCTTAGAGCAGAGTTTTATGAAATCTAAGGCATGTCAATTTTATTTCTGGCTTTTGAAAACCAAAATCAACCATCTCCCACAACAATCCCCCAAAAGTGTTATGTCCCTAACATAATAACATCTTAGGGGAAACCTACATTACTTTTAGCTAGAGCTCAAGGTTCAATACAATAATTCTACTAATTTACTCAATTTTTAGCTGATACCAACATTCACTTAGGTCAAATGATATCTGGAAAATCAGGTTGCCCAGACCGAAAAATCTCCTGATCTCCTGAATAAAACCTTTGCTGTGGTAATTTGCACAGGGTTTGACCTTTCATTCTTTTTTTGTTTTTTGAAATGGAGGTGGGTGGATTGCTTGTGCTCAGGAGTTTGAGACCAGCCTGAGCAACATGGCAAAACTCCATCTCTATAAAAACCACAAAAATTAGCCGGGCCTGTAGTCATAGCTATTTAGGAGACAGGTGGGAGGATTGCTTGAGCCCAAGGAAGCTGAGCTGCAGTGAGCTGTGATCAAACCACTGCACTCCAGCCTAGGTGACAGTGAGACACTGTCTTAAAAAACAAATTTTAAAAAGTAAAGTGAGATTTTATGTATTTCTATCACAGAGCTCCACAATAATGAAAGAGCAGAGAGCCCTCTTTCTTTCTTTATATATAAATTGAAATGCAAAGTGGTTCAGTGACTTGATCAATTTCAAGAGCAAAACAGAGATAACGAATGGAATGAAGAAATCTGGCTTTTTTTTTTTTTATTTTTTTGAGACGGAGTTTCACTCTTGTTACCCAGGCTGGAGTGCAATGGCGCAATCTCGGCTCACCGCAACCTCCGCCTCCTGGGTTCAGGCAATTCTCCTGCCTCAGCCTCCTGAGTAGCTGGGACTACAGACACGCGCCACCATGCCCAGCTAATGTTTTGTATTTTTAGTAGAGACGGGGTTTCACCATGTTGACCAGGATGGTCTCGATCTCTTGACCTTGTGATCCACCCGCCTCGGCCTCCCAAAGTGCTGGGATTACAGGCTTGAGCCACCGCGCCCGGCCCAGAAATCTGGCTTTTAACATCCGTATATCAAATCTTATATTAAAGGCAGTGATCATAATTATCTAGATGGAAAAAAGTTTTATTTGTAGAAATCCAGTGCTAAAAAATACATTTCAAGATCACTTAGTCCAATCTTCCTGATTTTACAGGTAAGAAACTGAAGCCCAGAAGGTAAGCAACTTACCTGGGATGAGAGTTAAGCTAAATTAATTTTTTTGCCTCTGGGTGTCCCTATAAACACTAAAATTTTATTATGATAAAGGAGTGAACATTCTGTAACCAAAAGATACAGAAACACAGCTCTCTGTTTGCCTTCTAGTTTGTTGAGCAAAAACTTCTGTGAATGAAATAATACAATCATCCATAGTGAGCTTAGAAAAGACAATGATATCTTGGTTTTCCACTTAAATGTCAGTGTTAAATGTGGTGTGAACCAACCCAATGGCAGTAAGTAAGTAGGCAAAGCTTAGGGGCTTAACAAGCATTTGTTTTTGACGGTGTCAATCAAGAACCAATGGACAATACAGAGCCACTCCCTTGCTTTCCAGAGCCACAGGAGGCAAGGAAAGCTGAGGTGAAACGTCCGAAGTTAGGGTTATTTAAGGCTATTCAGAAATTTGGCATGTTCTTCTCCTCTTGGTAACAGAGTTTCCCCTCCTATCTTTGGACCATTCTTTTCCTAGAAAAATGAAAATATTTTAATGGGAGATGGTACAACATTATCAGCATGGGTCATTAAAAGGAGTCACAAATTAGTAGGCAAATGGCATACCTTTAGCATTCCGTCTCGTTCCCATTTGTAGAGGCCACAGTTACTGAAACAGAAAAACGGATTCACTCAGCAGGGTGGTGCAGGCCCACTCATGCAAAGACGATGTGCTCACTGTACTTGGGGACAGTAGCCCCCATTCCAGGAGCTGTTCAAGGTGACACTCGTACTATATGACAAATCTGAGGTTATGCTCGAATGCAACTAGATAAATCTATAATGACTTGGGAAGTGGTCTGTAGTTCCTTACAAAGCTACAGGCTTCAGAGATGGAGCTTCAAATGATAGTACCACAGGAATCCACACGCTGCAGGTAATGAACGCACCCTTGGTTTTTACAACTGATGATTGTTGGGAAGAGACTCAGATTTAGGGAGCTGGCTCTCAGGTGCAGGACAGTCTATGTTTGGCCTCTTCCTTCTCTCTCTCTCTCTCTCTCTTTTTTTTTTTTTTTGGAGCAGAAAGGTTGAGATAAGGAAAGGAATAATCTTTCTAGTCTGGATCATCCTCCTCTTCTCTTTATATCCCAAAAGCCTTTACTCACTTCCTTTTTCTTTTCTTTTTTTTTTTTTTTTGGGTTGGTGGGGGTTTGTCATGTTGCCCATGCTGGCCTCAAACTCCTGGGCACAAGTGATCTGCCTGCCTCAGCCTCCCAAAGTGCTGGGATGACAGGCGTGAGCCACTGCGCCCGGCCTCTTCACTCTCTTGTAATTCAAAGGGCTCAGGGACACTTGTTTTGTTTTCATTTTTATTTTTTTAGAGACAGGGTTCATTCTGTGGGCCAGGCTGGAATGCAGTAGTGACATCATAGCTCACTGCAGCAGCCTTGATCTTAAGAACTAATACGAGGGCCAAGCATGGTGGCTCATGCCTGTAATCCCAGCACTTTGGGTGGCTGAGCCCACTTGAGCCCAGGAGTTTGAAACCAGCCTAGACAACACAGTGAGACCCTGTCTCTACAAAAAAGTAAATTAAAAAAAAGTAGCTGGGTGTGGTAGCACACACCTGTAGTCCCAGCTACTCAGGAGGCAGAAGCTTGAGCCCAGGAGTTCAAGGCCGCAATGGGCTATGATCGTGCCACTGCACTTCAGCCTGGATGACAGAGTGAGACCCTGTCTCAAAAAAAAAGAAGGAACTGACAAGAGCGCCAGAGAAAGCGCGGTCCATTTGTGTCTTGCACTTCGAACAGATTTAAAAAAAATTTTTCTAATGTTTTCCGTAAGCTCTTGCTATAATGACATTTTTAGTCATCTGTTTTGGAGAGAAGTCAAGTATCAACATATAAATAACTACTTAAAAATTATAATCTAGATTGTGAAAAATTTGCAAGCCAGCTCCTGGTAAAGGGATGAACCGGCCCAGGTTCCTGGCTCCCTCCCCTTTTATTGGAGGAAGCACAGGAAAAAATAACAATATGGCAATAAAAAACAACAACTATTCGCAGCACTTACGTTGTTTTAGGTATTAGAAGTAATCTAGAGATGTTTGAAAGTATATGGGAGGATGTGTGCATGTTATATGCAAATACTACATCATTTTATAACAGAGACTTGAGCAGCCACAGATTTTGCTATCCTGCGGGGAGAGTGCTGTCCTGAGGCCAATCCCCCTTGGATACTGAGGAACGGCAGTTCTCACAAGCTAAAGAAATTTAAAATGATCAAGTAACTCTTGGGAGTAGAGAGAAGAAAAAAATATTATGTGCATCCTAGACCCCAGCAAACACACACATGTTCACCACCCCACCCTATCATTCTTATTTATTCAACAAACACTTCTGAGGACCTCCTGTGGGCCAGGTACTACATTAGGTGTTGGGGACAGCAGTGAAAGGGCAGGGAAGGAATTCCAGGATTTCAGATAACAACTTGAGTCCCAAAGACAGCTTGGAGCTGTGGGAAGGCACAGAATGACCATCCAACGTTCCCAGGGAACAGACTCACAGCCACCGGAAAAAGAGATGAAGATCCCCATGTGGGACAAAGAGCCCCAGGTGGTTCTCATACCTGCAGTGCTTGTTTGGGAGTCTGTCCAGGGAGATGCTTCTGTTCCCACAGGGACACTTGAAAAACCGCTTCACGCCGTCGTGCCAGTGGTATTCATGCTGCTCACTGACGCAGGTCTGCAGCAGCTTGAAGTGAGTGTAGGCGCACTGCACAGAACAACAAGAAGCCCACAGTGCTGGTGAAGAGCTGGAGGACAAACACTCAGCTGCGGTCAGGACAATCTGCTCCGTGATCACCACCTGGGCCCTTGCTAGGGGACTGGGCCACCTTCGCCTCTTGCTACAGCTACCCGTGTGACTGCCTGACTCCCTCAGACTGATACCACTGTTCCTCATGTTTGGCCCAAATTCTGGTCAGTCACAAAGTACACAATAACTTTGTTACTGTATAACATGTTCCATGATGACAATAGCAAGGGCAGAAGAGGAAAAGCACCGTAAACCCCTAAACAGCTTCAGCTGGTCTGTGCGAGAGTCATTATGGCACCTTGCTTACATACGACGCAGAGGCTTGGCATCTATATAAAAGAGGGATCAGCAGCTCTTTCATTCTCTTCTATGATCTGTAAAAAGGATGTAGGCTTATTATTACTCCCTATTTCATTAGCAGCAAAGCCAAGACAGAGAGATTAAGGATTTCACTTCTAATTGTGATCCTCAGAAAGACCAAAGAGAATCAGAAGCGGTGGGTGTGCAGCAAAGCATGTGTGGGAGAGAGCGCTGTCACTTCTGAGAATTACACTGAGCTTGATAAATAACTCGAGACTTAGGCAACCTCAAAGTGCAGAGTAGAGTGGTGAGCCCAAGGGCTTCAACCATGGTCCCAGGGCCTATCAACACTGAGCCACGTGGACACAGTGGTCCGGGGGAGGAGATGTTAGGGCCCATCTGAACTGGGGGCAGTGGTCAAATGAGAGAAGGATGCGCTAGACAAACGCTCCACTGGCAGAGCACAGCAGCCAGGTCAGGCAGGAAGCCGGGTTCTGGGCCACCTCCACCCTTAGCTTTCCAGCCTAATTAACTGACACATTACAAGACAGGGCCCCAGATCCCACATGTTCTCCACGTGCTGCCGAGTCACAACAGCACCACACGGGGCCCATGGTTACCGTAGCCCCCACCTTCACCCACCGTCTTGCATGTCACGATGCGGCATTTCACTTCTCTGATGTTTCTCATCTTTTCTTCCATTTGTTCTTTCTTCACCAGTGGCTCAAAGTAGCGCTCCTGCAGCTCAGCCTCGGCCTGGAATGACAGGGCATGTGAGAGACCTGGTGCCAAACCCAGTCTGCGCTCAGGCAGTGCAGTAAGAGTAACTCGATGATTATTCAGGTGACTCAGCTGAGAACAGAACAGAACTGAAGGACAGGCTAAATGTGCCAGGGCCCTGGACAGTCCCTCAACAATCTGCAAAGCAAAAGATGATGCGTAGAAATGAACTCTTAATATGCAAAAACAAAGGGACACAAGAGCATTTGGTGATGCTTTTAAATTTTATTTTTGAAATGGAGTCTCACTGTCACCTAGGCTAGAGTGCAGTGGTGCAATCTTGGCTCACTGCAACCTCCATCTCCCGGGTTCAAGAGATTCTCCTGCCTTAGCCTCCCAAGTAGCTGGGACTACAGGTGCTTGCCACCATGCCCAACTAAAGTTTTGGACCTTCAGCTGCTATGGGGTTTTACCCTGCTGGCCAGGCTGGTCTCAAACTGCTGACCTCAGGTGATCTGCCTGCCTTGGCCTCCCAAAGTGCTAGGATTATAGGTGTGAGCCACTGGGCCTGGCCCATTTGGTAATTTTTAAAACATCAAATACAAATAAGCACTCCTAACATGACAGCACCATTATGTCAAGTGTGTGTCTGAGGGCAGTTATTTCTACTGTTCTAATATAGACTCCATAACAAGGTACTCCGGGCCCCCGCTGGCGAGTGTCCTTGGTACAGGGAACATCAGGGAACAGCCCCAAGGGCAGAGATGCTTGTGGCACAATGTGCGTGCAGCGACGGGGTTAGCGCTGCTCCACAGGCAGGAGGGCCCAGGGCCTCGGGAGCCACAGAAGCGACGAGCTCAGCTCTGCAGCCTGCAGAGTCAGTGCTGGCATCTCTCCTGAGTTTCAAGTTCAGTGAAAAGATACGACGTAGAGCTGTTTTGTTATTTGTTAATCAAAGGAAGAGCAGATCATTTGGAGTAGTGATACAGAATGGTGATGTTTTTAAATTGGTGGGAGCACTTTGTGTTATCATAATGATTGCTACCTCGGCGGCTGGCAGGGACCAGGGGTGCTGAACTCTCTGCAATGCATGGGACAGTCACCGACAAAACTAAGGACTGCTTCTCATCCTGCCTGGCTTGTGTGTGTCCTGCCTGGCTTGTGTGTGCTCTGAGACAAATGTGTGGGTGGGGAACCTGATTAAAACCCTAGAACCTAACTGCTTTCCACACAACCCAACAATATTTGTGCATGGTTTTAACACATGTTGACAATTCCAAGAGTAAAACTAGACTCCTGTGTATACTGAGGGACAAGGGTACTTTGGTTTCTCAGGATTATTTACTTCACACACACACACACACACTCCAACCTGGGCAACATAGATAAACCAGACCTTGTCTCAAAAAAACAACCCTCCCTCTGAAAAGTACATTATCTATTCCTAGCTACTCAGGAGGCTGAGGTATGAGAATCGCTTGAGCCCAGGATTCAAGACCAGTTAGGGGAACATATGGAGACCCTGTCTGGACACTCCTCCCACCCCTGATGAAAACCCCCACATTATCAAAGAAACATTTCTGAGTCTCCATTTCTGGCTCATTTATACTGATAAATCCAAGCCTCTCACGACTTTATTTCCCCTAAGCTAGTTCTGCCTATGCATTTAAAAATCCATAATGCAATCTATACCTTTATCATAAATATTTTCATTTTTTCCTTCTTTGCATTAGGATATTAATTTTTCAAAATGACTAGTATAGGTAATTCATATTTATGAATTTTATTTCAAGATAAGAAAGCAATACAAATACCTGTTACTAAAAAGAGGCCTTGGGCATGAGTTAAGCCCTGCTTTAGAGCATTTGAAATGCCGATATAAAAATACTGGAATGGGAAGACTCTCTTCGCATATTGCAAGGCAGAAAACAGCAACAGTGTGGAACCATTTAAACATCACTTCAAAGCCATAAGCAAGTGCAAACATTTTTATAATACTGATATCTATTTAAGTCATGTTAAGTCAAATGATATTCTTCAGTAAAGGGACAAAGCCAAGGCTAAAATCTATTCGAAATTATCCTGTTCTTCAAAGCAAACTCAAACAAACTGACACATACCTACTTCTAGATTTATGTAAAAAGCAGATTCTTGGCTGTGCGTGGTAGCTCATGCCTATAATCCCAGGACTTTGGGAGGCCAAGGCGGGAGGATCACTTGAGGTCAGGGGTTAGAGACCAGCTTGGCCAACATGGGGAAACTCTGCCTCTACTAAAAATATAAACATTTGCTTGGTATGGTGGTAGATGCCTGTAATCCTAGCTACTGGGGAGGCTGGGGCAGGAGAATGGCTTGAACCTGGGAGGTGGAAGTTGCAGTGAGCCGAGACTGCACCACTGTACTCCAGCCTGGGCCACAGACTGAGACTCTGTCTCAAAACAAAACAACAGATTCTTGGTCCTACAGCTGGCACCTTGGCTTTGAAGGACATTGACCTTTTGGGATCTTACCTGTTTCAGGATGCCTGTGTGTTTTGATTTTGCTTTTAGGATTTTCTGAAATTCCTCAGATTCCAGGTAGGCAAGTTGTTCTCTCCTTTTTTTCCTGGCAGGTTCTAATTCAACCTCAGCTAGAGTGGAAGGAACAAGCATCAGCAGCGACCAAGAAACTGCAGAAAGCCAGCGTGCCTCATCGACTCCACGCCCTTCCACTCCCCCTTCCTCTCCTACCAGCCCTTCAAACGCGACCCACCCCAGCTGGCCCCAGCAGAGGAGACGTCTCAGAGGTGAGCCAAGAAGCTGAGCTTAGAATGTGGCTGGTGGCAGATTTGGCCACTAAATTAGAATCTCTTTTTCACCTTCAAATAGGCAGCTGACTATCATAATAGATAATAGCAATGTTAAATATGTTGACAATGATGTTAACATGATATTGCCTACTTCAGAGTTTTAAAAATACAGGGCAATTTAAAACAAAGGAATTTGAGTTCTGTCAAAGCAAATCTTTACGCTAACATATGTACAAGATCCTATTCCCAAGTATTCGAATTATGTCTAATTTCATTCCAATTTAACGTGATTATAAAAAAAATCAGTTCTACCCATAGAAATTTTATTTAGGTATTCTTTATAGGAGGAAATTGAAGTAACTACTTGATATCTGGGTGCTGGTTTGGGTTTAGGACGTATTTCCCTTAGAAACAGTTTCTCTTTTCCACTGTTAACTGTGAAACTGCAGTACCTGGAGAAAACATGATGTTCTTTTCTACACGTTCCTTCACCTCCATGACGGCCTGAGGGTCCTTTTGCTTCTTCTTAATGCCATTTGGGTTTGTTTTTGTAAGAATCTGGCCTTTTGCCCTTAATTTGGAGATAGCAGCTAACTAGAAAAGAAGAGAAGAGAGGGCGGTTAAGATCTGAAAGATGACAGAGGCATTTAAGACCTGGACCCCTTTTTTGTTATTAACCAGTGAATTCTGGCTGTCCTCCAACAGAAATTATCAAAACATATCTTAATGTTACTTGGTATTATTAACACAATTACTGGAATGTAATAGCATGGGAGACAGGTCTACACGCTGATGAGTAAGTCTCAGTTTATTTAAATATAACAAGTGTCACATCAGCGAGACTGCAGGCTTCCAGATCCGTGAAGGAGCCACATCACCATTTTGTAAGTTTTAGAATCAGACAGAATTAGGATAGAATTCCATCCAGCTCTGCCATGGACTAGCTCGTAACCCGAGGCAAGTTATGTAATTTCTCATTTATAAAATGGAAATGGGGCTGGGCACGGTGGCTCATTGCAAACCCAGCACTTTGGAAGACTGAGGCAGACAGGCTGCTTGAGCTCAGGAGTTCAAGACCAGCCTGAGAAAAAAACATAGTGAGACTTCATCACTACAAAAAATACAAAAATTAGCTGGGTATGACAGTGCATGCCTGCAGTACCAGCTACAGGGGGCTGAGCTGGGAGGATCACCAGAGCCCAGGGAGGTGGAGGCTTCAGTGAGCTGTGACTGTACCACCGCCCACCAGCCTGGGAGACAGAGTGAGACCCTGTCTCAAAACAAAACAAAAGAAGGAAATGATGATATAGCATTGACCTATCTTTCAAGGTCATGGTGGTATGGATGAAATAAGATGTCTGCAAAGTATGAATCTGTACATAGTAAATACATTTCTGGCCGAGTGTAGTGACTCATTCCTGTAATCCCAGAACTTTGGAGGCCGAGGCAGGTGGATCACTTGAGGTCAGGAGTTTGAGACCAGTCTGGCTAACACAGTGAAACCCTGTCTCTACTAAAAATACAAAAATTAGTCAGGCATGGTGGCAGGCACCTATATTCCCAGCTACTTGGGAGGCTGAGGCAGGAGAACTGATTGAACCTAGGAGGCGGAGGCTGCAGTGAGACGAGATTGCACCACTGCACTCTAGCCTGGGTGACAGAGCGAGACTCTGTCTCACAAAGCAAGCAAACAAACATAGTAAATGCACAGCACGCATATCACAGGTGTGGAGTAATATGGACATGCGTCATGGTTGTTATTATAGGCATTACTATGTGTAATACTATAAGTCAGTAAGGTTGTGGCATACAGCTAGCCTCTGCACTTCATTTGGCTGTAGCTGCTAACTAGAAGAAAGAGAGCTCGGTGAGGGGACTCAGGAAGCAGGCAGCTGGGGCTCTTAGTGTCCCCTACTTCAGCCAAAGCAACTCAGCTTTCTCCTGTCATGTGACTAGACTTCTGTGTAAAATTTCTTTTAAAGAGGGATTCTTGGTTAGGCATAGTGGATCATGCCTGTGGTCCCAGCACTTTGGGATGCTGAGGTGGCATTGCCTGAGTCTAGGAGTGCAAGACCAGCCTGAGAAACAAAGGGAGACCCCTCATCTCTACAAAAATACAAAAATTAACCAAGGCGTGGTGGCACGTGCCTGCAGTCCCAGCTACTACTTGGGAGGCTGAGGCAGGGGGATCCATCGATCCTGGGAGGTTGAGGGGGCAGTGAACCAGGACTGCACCACTGCACTCTAGCCTGGGTGACAGGGGGAGACCCTGTCAATAAATAAATAAATAAATAAATAAATGGCCGGGAGCAGTAGCTCACCCCTGTAATCCTAGCACTTTGGGAGGCTGAGGTGGACATATCACTTGAGGTCAGCAGTTCGAGATCAGCCTGGCCAACATGGTGAAAACCCGTCTCTACTAAAAATATAAAAATTAGCTGGGAGTGGTGGTGGGTGCCTGTAATCCCAGCTACTCAGGAGGCAGAGGCAGGAGAATCACTTGAACCCGTGAGGCAGAGGGTGCAGTGAGCCGAGATTGTGACACTGCACTCTAGCCTGGGCGATAGAGTGAGAGAAAGAGAGAGAGAGAAAGAGAGAGAGAGAGAGAAAGAGAGGAAGGCAGGAAGGAAGGAAGGAAAGAAGGAAAGAGGGAGGGAGGGAGGGATTCCTTAAATTACCCTTTTACATTAGTCTCACCTCAACAATTCCAACAATTGTTTTCCTACAGTCAGTGTCTCTGGTTATAAACACTGTCTTCCTCTAGGGTACATCCTGTAGCCTGGCAAGAAATAGTGTGGAGATAACAGCTCTAACTTTCTTGGATTAAATTCATTTTATGTTGACACTACCATCTTTTCAAATTACACTGACTCTAATGAGCACGATCAATATACAGCTGTTAGGATCTGTCTTTCCTCCAGCTCTGTCCTACAGAATGCAAACTCAGGTGTTAAAAAGAAGAGATGCCAGTTACCTTTTTGGCTTCTGCTAAAGCACTTAGTTTTGGTCTTGGTGGTGGTGACTCATCATAAAAGAGAACATCATCTCCTTCCAAGACGCCTCGCCCCAGCTTGGGTGTCATTGTGGCCGGGGCTCCCTCCAGCCTGGGAAACTCAGATCGTGTCCCTGGAGACTGAGCAGGAGGCTGTCTTGATGAGGATGGCACAGCGGAGCTCCCGACTTCACTTGAGCTTTGCAGAAATCTTTAAAGAACATACGGTTAAAATATGCAAACAGGGTTTATAAAAACTCTAGAACTCAACATGAACTAGGAGGTAGCAGGCAGGCCACCAGCTGGGAGCTAGTTGTTAGCAAAATAGTTTCCCCGCCTTGGCTGGTAATTCAAATTTGCACAGAATAAGAACAATACTAGCTTCACTAACTCCTGAATTAATTGTGTTTTCTTTAAATAAGCTGTCATTGCCCTAACATTTTAGAGCTGATGACTGTTTTTATCCATCAGCTGTGCAGTGGATGTCATCCGCAGCACACCCATATTCCCATCCCTACTGTCAGCTCGAGGGCCTGTAGGAGGTCATTGCATCTCCCTACATTTTAGTTTATGCTCCTGCAAAGGGACAGTACATGTGGGACATTTGGAAGTCATTAACAGAAAAGCACTACAACTTGCAGCGATTATTTTACATCCTTTTAAAATTTTTTTTTGAGACAGAGTCTTATTCTGTTGCCCAGGCTGGAGTGCAGTGGCACGATCTTGGCTCACTGCAACGTCCGCCTCCTGGGTGCAAGTGATTCTCATGCCTCAGCCTCCCAGGTGTTGGGATTACAGCACTTACTGGCAACAAATGGTTTTAAGAGCTATTTTACTTTTTTTTTGGAGACAGGGTCTTGCTCTGTCGCTCATGCTGGAGTGCACTGGCACAACTGCAGCTTGCTGCAGCCTCCACCTCCCAGGCTCAGACAATCCTCCGACCTCAGCCTCCCAAGTAGCTGGGACCAAAGATGTGCGCCACCATGCCTGGCTAATTTTTTTATTTTTTGTATAGACAGGATTTCTCCATGTTTCCCAGGCTGGTCTCGAACTCCTGGGCTGAAGGGATCTGCCTGCCTTGGCCTCCCAAACTGCTAGGATACAGATGTGAGCCACAGAGCCAGCCTTGAGAGTTACTTAAAAACAACAACAAACCTCAGAAACCATCTAATCCAAACCTCTTATTTGATCCATGAAGAAACTGAGGCCCAGGACCACACTGCTCACAAGGGCCAGGCTGGGGATGAGGGCCAGGCCATACCAGAAAAGTACGCTTTCCCATCCCACATACCTACTCTTGCAAGGTCTAGGCCGAGTTTGCAAACTATCTATCAAATCCTGCACAAAGTGAAGGCTTCTTTGGCCAACGAAATTCTGAAAATTTTCAAATTGCAATGACTTCAAACTGATGGGCACTCTCTATTTCCCACGAGGCTCACAACTCCATACATATTTCTATGTCCACGTATACAATTTATGTCACCTGTAGGCACTCAATGAATACCTCTGTAGATATCCTACCAGCACCTCAAACTAATCTGCCTGAGATCAAACCCATTTTCTTACTTTCCCAAAGACTTTCCTCTTATTATTATTATTATTATTATTATTTTTGAGACAGAGTCTTGCACTGCTGCTTAAGCTGGAGTGCAGTGGCGCGATCTCAGCTCACTGCCACCTCCGCCTCCCAGTTTTAAGCGATTCTCCCACCTCAGCCTCCCAAGCAGCTGGGATTACAGGCACCTGCCATTATGCCCAGCTAACTCTTGTATTTTTAGTAGAGACGTGGCTTCACCTTGTTGGTCAGGCTGGTCTCGAACTCCTGACCTTGTGATCCACCTGCCTCAGCCTCCCCAAGTCCTGGAATTAAAGGCATGAACCACCTCGCCCAGCCCCTCTTATCTTATAATCGACCACCTTTCATGGATGCAGTGGCCTTTTAGCAGCCCAGATTTGGGATGGCAAATGGTTTGGCTCTGGAGCAGATTACCTGTGAGCCCAAAAC